CGGCTCGAATGGGCCCCAGATCCGGCCGGATAGTGGCCAGGCAATGCCGACGACACGGGTCGCTCAGTCCAGTTGCCCGTCCGTCACTTGCGATTGCTTCAGGACCGGCCCTGCCTGCGTTCTGACGAAACTCCTGCTGCTGCCCATCAGTTTTTCCGGCGACATTTCCACTCTAGAAACGAAACATCTTGCCGTCCAGCAGACGGCTCCTACTATCCGAAGAAAGAGTTGAGCTCAGCCGGTGATGGACGCCGCAAGCACCGAGTAGCCCCCAAGGTTGCAAACTACGCATGCGCCTATATGCAGGTTCTCCCAACAGGCGTCACACTTGGGTAGCCACTCAGACGTGCGGTTCATGACATACATCTGAAGCGCCTGCGTTATATCGCGGGCCAATTACGGCCAGACTGAGCTTCCTTGGGACGCTTCCCCCACCGAAGGTCTAGCACACGTGCTCTATTGCGCACCCATCACAAAACTACGAGCCTCCAATCTTGCTGTCTGCGGAAACTCAAAAGGTGGGGTGCGCCAACGCCACTACCTTCCGGTAGAAGTGCACCCTTCTCTTCAACTTCGGATGAACCCGGCTGGTGACATGCTTCCCGTTCAAGAACATTCTGGTTGGGCCGCTTTCCCCGCATCAACCGCCCTCGAGCACTAGCCGTACAACGAGGGCTTGCGGTGCCTTGATGCAAGATGAGCTTGCCTCGAGCTGTATCGAATGAGACCTGACCTGGACTGGCTCTTTCAACGACAGTCCTTAGATTTGCTGGGAGTCAGGTGCTTTGTGAAATCAAACAGCAAGTTTAAAATTGTAGCTTGACCTGTGCAGTCCCAACGTAGTCTTGTATACCCACAGAGCCGTAAACGACGCTTGAAAGACCGGGCTGGCCATACGGCGTCCACCCTCTAGTTAATCGAATACTGCTCGGTGCCCACGCGGCAACCTCGTGAGAGCTCTCGCGTATGCAAGCGCGGCAACTCCATGCTTAGATTTTTTCTGCCTTGCAGCAAATAACTTTCCCACGTAAACGGTCGTTCGCTAGCCACTGTATATGCCGTCATGCGAGCTGGAAGGTCGAGGAGCGTCGGGCTTGTAGCACCATCAGCTCGCGATGACCAGGAGCTCGGCATGGTGGACGTCAATCTCGTACTACCCAGAGCGAATATTGCTATGTGAAACCACAAAGCATATCTCACGTAAGAAAACGTAGAATCATGGGGATGGTGCGTATGGCTGCAAAAGATGGAGGTGGTATTTTTCAAGATGCCGACCTGCTTGACATACTCCGCAAAGGCTCTCGGACTTCAAGGTCATGATAAGATACAGTCAGAATCAAAAGGTAGGCATCCATCCCAACGCCGTAGAAACTTGCAGAGTTAGATTTCCTGTATATTGAGTCTACGGTCATCGCTTCCTGGTCAGCGTCTCCCGCGGCCAGGCGTGAGATAGCTTGAGGTCCCGACCCTTGGTCTCTTGCTGTGGTAAGTCTTTACATGATGGGATCGAGTGAGTACTCTTGCCAATGAATCGGAGGGAACAGCTTAGCAAGGAGAAACCGTGCGGTTTTCAACAGTTTGTCCAAGCGCCTCGGCCATCCTAAACGTGTAGACATCAGAGTATGTTGTAGAGTGCGCAATTTCATGGCACATTGTGATCTTTCATTCAGAGTCGGGTGAGGTACATTTCCGCGTGCTTAGCTCCATGCATGGACACAAATTACATCAGAAGAATGATATCGTGTCCATTTTCGTGGCAGGAAGTCAGCTGCTAGGCCGGGCTAAAGGGCGTCCTGTATATAGAACATGTGAAAGTGCTCAATCGTGCTTAGCAGACACAAATATGAGTCAACGACAGACCTAATTGCTTGACGAATTCGTCATCAGGTAAGGGTGAATTAGTTGTCTAGCGGTTGAGCATTGGTCTCTGGCAACATCCTCCCATGTCGCTGTTCTTGGTTCTTCTGGGGCTATTCGGTGTTGATTAAGCCCTGGTCGTCCCAAACGAGGGCGCTCATGTGTCGTTCGGCGATAAGTCTCAAAAGGGGCATGTCCACTGAGCACTGGTGAAGTCGCTAATGGTAAAGTAAGAACCAGTCATCCAAATATTGGCGCATTTGAAAGACCCTGGAGTATTTATGTAGATGATTCTCCCGAGACGTTTGAGTCCCCGGCACAAGACGACCGATCTATTGGCTCACACGTACGGAGATTGACTGTCGCATTAGCTGGCGTGGCATCATCCTCTCGGCGAGGTCTTGTTACTCTCAGGTCTATATACGCTTCGATTCTCTCCGTGATCAAAGCTTTGTAGAGACAATTAGCTGACTCTCCCATAACGACGCGTTTCTGGGGCCGGAGACTTCATCTCGTACTGGTTTGGTTTCGCAAAACAACATGAAGGTTTCAAATACGAAGATCTTCGTAGTCAATGAAGAGGTCGTTTTCAACACTCTCCTTCACCACTATCTTTGGCGTAGTCTGTGTACAGAATCATGATAAACACAGGACATTAAAAGATGGCCTGAATTCTTGAATAACATGCAATTGATGGAGTTATCAACAGCGTTCCATCTTAGAGCGAAAATGTGTCGGTGAGCGAATTGCGTGGAAGCAGAACGTCGCCATCGCTTCCTTGAAGGAAAAGAATCTCAGTTTCGGAGTAGATGTTGACATATTTATAGGCCTAGATCATTATGGCAAGCGTGTTGGCCTGGTGTCTAGGCTCTGCGTTGCTCCGAGGCATGTCAGACTAACGAGTGTACAGGGTGCTGCTATAAGTAAAGAACCTGTCCGCTGAGAATTCGGGAGCAGACAGACCAATGGCGAGCGTCACTGGTGCCTTCTACAGCTCCTGTACTAGTTTTATACAACGTCAGACACAGTTATCCAGCGCTACGAGCGAGGTTTTGGCGAAACCTTTTGAGTTCTGAAGAGACTTAGATCTGGATCTCTGTTCCTTAGTTTCCGTCTCAGTATATACAGTGTAATAAAGAAAGAAGTACGAATGCATCCTCACGATCCTGAATACGGGATTGCACAAATGATATATAAAAGCTGACTTAGAACTAACTCAGGCCCATCATAGTCCATGCTGAGGGGTAAAGTATTGAGGCATAAGTCTGGGGGTGATGATGATCGGAGATACATACAGCTTATGCCTCCGCTATCTCCATTGCAGTTTTTAAGAACTTATATAATGTTCTTCAAGCTCTCGAATTATCAAACCAAGACCAAATGACATTCAGTCACGTTCTTGCATGTCGCGTCCTGGGTTTCTCTACTTCTAGGAGTAGTTCCTCCTAACTATGAACGCATTAACGACGAGCGATTTAATCTTCCTCGGTTGTAGGTAAGTATTTGTATTTAAATAGACGACGAATAGTGAAGACTGATGGCGGCGAGAAACAGCAGGAGGTGCTTGGTAGAATCCGGTCTCTCTTTTTATAAGCGGCAGAAATTTTGCCACTTACTACTTTCTTATTTGAATTCTTAGTTTCACGGGAATTCAAACAAATAAGATTGCTAAACTTGATCTTAGTAGAGATTTTTATATGCCTGGGCATTTTATTGCCAGCCGTGATATACATGACGGCTCACCCACAAGACCCAACAAGAACGCTGCTGCGTTAAGGTCGTCGAACTAGAAGAATGCCATATAAAGTACCATAACGTAACTGAGAAAGACTCTGCAGGACCATCATTGGTCTTAAAATAGCGTCTCTACTTACAGTAATCACCTTCATATATACTCTCCTACTAGGAGGCTAGGTCAGGCAAGCCCTGAGACATGAAGAGGGCTGCTTCTTCGCCTCTACCCTGCACCTACATGCCAAGTCCTTTACATATTCGTCTCCGAAGCAACCGGTGAATATCAGACAGTCCCATAAAGAGCATAAAACACCCTTCGCCAATCACAGAGCAAGGTGACAGCATCCTGCTCGTATTCCGGTCACCCAAATTAACATGTCTCACCGGCCACGAGATTCTATTTAAGCGTCATCTAACAGTTTTGATTACTGCTTAAATACATTTCAAACATCAAGATCGACTCAAGACATGAGCCTTTTTGGATACGTGTAAGCCAAATTCTGTGTGATTTGTATATCTGGAGAAACCTCCTTGGTATTTGCCCTACTTGATACTACTGGTGATAGGGGACGCGGGATACGATTTACCAGCAGCAGTATAGCGCTGTTGACATGAATCGTGTCTTTTACAACTGGGTACGGTCAAGCCCGTTTCGATGCTGGCCCTCTCTCGACGCCGTCGGAACCGCGGGCGCCCTCAACTACCCCTTCCGTACCGTTCTGCTCCGTCGCCTTCTTCCGCACATTCACCCAGCCCATACCCCAAGAAGCAGCAAACGACACCGCGCCAAGTGCTACCAACAAATAGAAGACAGCGTTGATGCTGTCCGAGAACGCGAGCAGCAGTCCATGGAGCTCCGGACTACTAGGGGGTAGCAAGCCTCGCACGGCTTCCGCGCTTCCACCCACCGCGAGCGCCGCCTCGGGGCTTACTGAAGGTGCCAAAATGGAGACTTGCCGCGTAAGAGTCTGTGTAAATATTACATTGCCCACAACTGTGAAGATGGCCGATGCCAGATTCTCGACGAACAGCAAGAAGGCTATCGCGCTGGGGCTCTGGGCTGGCGTGACGGCGTTTTGTACTGAGATCACAGACTATGCAACAAGTTGATTTTCCCCCATCAGTAGAAGTCGATGAAGCCGGTGTAGTATCACTTCGGGATGGAAAATTGATCAAAGGGGGAAAGACGCACCATTTGTAGTCCCAAGCCGCGTAGGCCGAACAGAATTTGGTGTCCGATCCAAGCTGCCGTCAATGTATTCGGATCCCAGGTCGATATCAAACCGCATGCAATTGTAGTCGTCGCTCCTGAAAGAACGCTGAACGGGAGGTAGTAACCAATTCTTGTTACTAATGAAGGTTAAAAGTCAGCAAAAGTCTACCCTTTCCGTCCTTCGTCATTCTAAAATTCAAGAAGCAGGCGGGTTCAACTTACCAAGGGCACCAGAGATAACTAGAGACAGTAATTGCGTCAGAATCGAGGGCAGCATGTAGACACCGCTCAGCGAGGGGCCGACACCCTTCACAGCCTGGAAGTAGATGGGGACGTAGTTGACTCCGACATAGTTTAAGGAGAATAGGGTGGTGCTCTGCATCGCGCTGGCCCATACCCGTCTCCTCTTGATGAGGTGAAAGGGTATGAGGGACTTCTCGCCTACGTGCCATTCCCAGATGGAGAATATGAGCAACGTAGCACCAGAAGCTGCTAACAAGCCGATGACGACGGGCGAGCTCCACCCGTGTTCGGTCGATCCCCAGTGCAGCGCGATGAGAAACATGACAGTTGTCGGGGCAAACAGCGCAAACCCTGTGAGGTCGAGTTCTGGGATGATGCGGCGTACGAGGGCAAGCGAGAATGGTGGCGTGAGCGTCTCTTCCGGGACGCGGGTGAAGAAGAGGAAGAGGCTGGAGACCACGCCGATGGGAAGGTTGATGTAGAAGCCTACAGTTTGTCAGTTGTCAAGTTGAGAGTTGCGCAAAAATCACCGGGGTGATTGCAACTGCTTACACCATCGCCAGCTCGCGTATTGCGTCAAGGCACCACCGATGAGAGGCCCGAGGACTATGCCTGTTTGACAGACTTGAGTCTGTTGTCAGCTCACCTCCCGTTAAACTCGGTCGTCTCTGCTGACCTGCAAAGACTATGCCGTTGTAAACTAAAAGTAGGAAGTGAAGGTTAGTTCCGATATTTTAGACACTCGGCTATACCGTCGGCAACTTACAAGGACGTTTGTGCAGGGGCACTGCTCCGGCGACGAGGTTCAGGGCACCGTTTTCCAACGCAGAGCTTCCCAGCCCGGCGATGGTACGGCCGAGGATGAAGAACATGGACGACGTTGAGACTGCGCAAAGCAAAGAGCCGATCTCAAAAATGAAGACGAAGAACAGAAATGTGTACTTCACGTTGAGGTAGGTGTAGAGTTTTCCGGTAAAGGGCTGCAAAGCCGCACTGGTGGCCGGATTTGTTAGATTACATTCAGTTCAAGTTAAGTTCTCTTTCGCATTGTTGTCTTCGGTGAAAAGGGATCGTAGTTACCTTGAAAGCACATAGGCACTTCCGTACCATCCGATACTGTTGAGTCCTAATGTTAGCATTTGCGCCATTGTGGTTGTACAATTTCAAAAGAGTAGGAATTGGTAGGGGGTTAAACGTACTCTTGCAACCGGTGGAAATCACTCGTAATGTACGGGATAGCCTGGGTTCGGGGGAGGCATCATAGTCAGCTGTCTGACCAGTATCGCACAATGATGCCCGTTATCAGGCAAACATTATTAAAGCCGATTGTGACACGACACTATGTTCTACCCGTACTCACCGTCGCAGTGATGCTGAAATCCAAGAGGACGAGAAAGAAGACAGACATAATGCCGAAGAGGGCAGCGTACAGCCTGTATCCGCTGATGTACTCGTGGTCTTCCTTGCCGAAGTCGCCATTGACGGCAGGATTGGCATTGGCTTCTGGTGACTCCGGGCCGGTGTCGGGAGCCGCTGTCCCCTGGATTTCCCTTTGGGCGTCGCCATGTGCATTCTCAGCTTTCTTGGAACTTGAGATGCCCATGTTTGTTGCGGTCATGGTTATCTCTGCCGCCATTTCTGCTTGACTCTGCTGTGGCTTCTCATGGATTGAAGCCTTCGGTAGTGAACGTGGTTCCATGTCCGATTCTGAGCGTAGTTGTGCTTCTCCCGTCATAGTTGTCCGGTGCAAGAATCGTCGTTCTCAGTTTTCGATTGAAAGTTCGCGTGCGACGCAAGTTAAATCGAACCTGTCGAGGTAAGTAAGCAGAATGGGTAGAGGTCACATCTCTTTGTGTGTGATGAGACTGTAGCCATTACTTATAAGAGATGTGGAACAAGCAATGCATGTCCCGACACCCCGCTTCCAAGTTCGGAGCTCGTACTGCCAGTGCACTGGTTTGATAGTTTCTGTGCAAAAGAACCCTTGGTTACATGGACCTTTTGTAGTGCCAAGTAGATGAAGCAGATGAGACTTGCTGATTGAGCCAAATTTTCTTGGCGAAGCCCTGATTGGATGCTCCCAAACAAGCACTCAACTGACGCTGACTGGGGATAGATGGTAAGTCAATATTCACGATAGGTACTTCTTAAATTCATCCACATGGTCTGGAGCTGAGCATCGCGTATTTAAGCTGATCTGTGATGGATCTTCGAGGGCTCTCCTTCTGGACCACAACCAGCCTTGCTTGAACTCAGGGTATTTGAGATTAATACATCAAATGGGTTACCAGACCGTGGCTATGTCTCCATTCGTCTTGCAGTGAAAATAAAGAGCACAGTCAAGGCCAGCCATATTGATACATAGAGAATACCTAAACGAAAAGGGAGGTAGGAAATTCCTCTGGTTCATGTGAGTACGTGAGATGGGCTTGAGACCAGACATACTACGTCGGAGATGAGGACGTAATGGAAGAGTAGATCTCATCGACTACGCAAAGTATTTCAGAGAAACCTAAGTACGATCCTGCTTGCCAAGTCTTTATGTATCGGAAATGACGTCCTGTTATTCGACGGTCGAGCCCTTGAAGGCGAGGGATCTGCGAACTTGTCGGGTACCTAGACGAAGAACAGGGGTCGTCGTTTTGTAGGCAGGCAGGATCCCAATGCGTCTATAAATTAAGTAAAACTCCCGGATATGTGCTTGAAGCGCCGGAGAACAACGACAGACAATTTCGTTGTAATTGTGGATGTTGATGTTTTGACTGACGACGCATATCAAGTTCAAATCCAGAGTGAATGCTCAACTTACCTAGGTTAGAAAGTCCTCACAACAAAGCGAAACTCCAGAGTATTCAGCTGGCTCTATACACAGAATGATGAGAGACAAGACACATGGTTCGTCGGCAGCTTTGAAGAATTGTTGAGGGTGCTTCCATAGCCCAAGGCTTGGCAAGTTAAGCAGCTGCATTAGAAATGGATCTTGTTGCGGAGGCAATGATTTCCTTGCACCATTGTTCAGATAATCCCGCCTGTGATTATATAGAAGGAAATAATCACACATGTGAGAACAGGACCTGCGTCATAGCTTATGTGGCCCCCTTGGATCAAAACGACCAGTAGCTCTACACCAGCAACGCCTCTAGCATAGGCCCTACCGAAGTTTTTGAGGCCGTGGCTGCCGGAGGCCGTAAACAAACTTGACGCCCAACTGCCAGACCAGACCTTCAGAGTCTAGGACATGTTTGGTTTAATCGTCAGTAGATCATCTCAGAGAAGTACATAAACCCTAGAAACCGCCATTTCGATACATCACTCAAGAATGGGAAGACCAGCAAAGGCATCTTTGAAACGAAGCAATAGTCCCATGGCGAGGCAATGAGTCCTCGGACGAAAGTGCTCTCGCGGAAACCCCTAGGTCAGACAGCCTTATTTGCCGTTGTTTTTTCAGTGAGAATAAACGTCCAGAGTTGACGGGCGGCGGACATAACGCGTCCTTCGAAAGTTCGATCCAGAGTATGGGGTCGAGAAAAGAACCAATAGCCGTAGGGCCGCTCTGCCCAGGCGTGGGTGCAACAAACAATCCTCAAGCAGCATCATTCTTGGCTGTGTTCTCATGTTTGGACATAGACTAGAGGGCATATTTATTGACACGAAGCGGCTGAATTTCCCTTGGATACGTTGTCTGTTGTGACACCAGATTTGTCAACATCATACATACAGTGCTTCTTTCGCAAGAGGACTTTGATCGAGTATATAACCTCACCTCCCAGCTCGTCGAATAGGTCTCGCAAGACAAACGATGTGTATGGCAAGCGGCGTCTGCAATCATTGAAGTCTGGCACCGGTGAATCTCGAGAGTAAGAAAGCCAGTGACCCAACGGCAGACGCCTGTCTCGAGTAGTCGCATATCGTATCTTGTCTCGAGGGCTCGGTGATACGCCGGAACACCCTCGCCATCGACCAGCGCTTCTGTCTGTAAGTTATTCGGCGGCTACCAGGGCACCACTCGAACCACATCTATGCGAAGCCGAGGGCGAAAATGACCGGCCAGCATACAGCCATGATGCTGACGGCAGGTCTCACCCGGGCCAAGAAGATAGAGGGAGCCAGACATTTCACTCACCATCCATACTCACGACGCCATTTGGGTGCCAAGATTGTAAGAAAGCTCGGTGAAAATGCTTAAATATTGCTACCCGGCGGGAGGTGATATTCGGCCTAACCGTTAAACATCACTTCAACCAACAAAATCCGTGCCAACGATATCACCGTCGCGATTCGGAAACCACAGGCATCATCGCACAGACGTCACAGCAAAAAACAAATGAGAGAGTCATCGGGACATATCATCCAAGTTTGTTCAATTTGATCCAAAATCCCATATCCCAAAACAAAAACCCTAGTAGGTCCAGCGTTCCCTACATGAACGACGAAACGAACCGAGCCACACGGGCTATCCGTGAGGAGGGGGCTCACTCTCGGATGCATCTAACCCAGGCGATGCACCATGTTGAAAGAGAAAATGTTCCTAGACCGGCATAACCCATGGTCCCTCCTATGTTCCCAAAAAGCCTCAAAAAGGGCATCAAATCATCTCCCCAATCCTAGGGGAGGAATCATCGGCTTCTCTCGAATGCTCTATCTAAAGAACGCCGATGGATGAACTGAAAGAGAGAAAAATGTGCAAGAAATGCCCGGCAAAAATACTCCTGTCCCAATGCATGACGGACTCTCATTTTTTGCTTCGGAAAGAAAGTCATATCCACATGCGGCATCAAACAAAAGAGAGGTATACTTCATCATCTCGCGGTTGGGTCTACCAAAGACGTCCCGCGAGGCGCCTGCTCAGCTTCTTGCGCTGGTTGACCGGTTCGTTCTGACGCACATTTCTCCAGGGGCTGCGGTCGCGGTCTTCCCAAGTTTGCATTTGCGCTGTGTGAATTGAGTCAGTCATTTCCCTTTCTCTCTCTCTCTCTCTCTCTCGGCTTCTTCTGTAGAATGCGCAGGGGACTTACCAAGAAACCTGTTCCAACGGCGGTCCTCGTCCCACAGGATATCGTCTCCAGACTCCCTCGCGAGCCTCTCCCTCCTAGCCCGCGACGCCGCCTCCTCGCCGACCAGGTACGGGTCCTCGAGCGGGCGAAAGTCCCTCGCGCGCTGCGCTGCCTCTTCCTCCGCCATGCGCTCTGACATGAAGCGCCGCAAGTGTGCGACAGGGTCGGCTCCGCCCTGGTTCATGCGCCTGCGGGCGACGTTGTTGAGGGTCGGGTTGGAATGCACGGTGGACCATGTCGGTATGCGGAAGTTGTTGAGCTGGGGAACGACGGCCGACGCGGGCGGGATCGGGGGCAGGCCGGAGCGGGGCTGGGGGGTTGTGGTGCCAGAGCGGGTCGGGGCCGGGGCGGCGGGTAGCAGGGAAGTCGGGTATTGGGTGGAGCCATTCGGGTTTGCGGCGGCGTTGTTTGCCGGGGGCGAGTATGCGGGTATCGGCTCTGGGTTGGGTGCAGTGGAGTGGTATGAAGGCGCGTCTGAGACTTTTCTTATTGTTAGTCTTTGGCTCTGGCGAATTTCCCATGACGGGAAGGCAGGTGTCGTCGAGGTGAGGCTCAGGCGGGCATGTCACGCGCCGCCGGGGCCACGGCCAGTGCAGAGGCTCCCGGCGTCCCGCTCTCGACCTCGTGAGGATGTTCTACTTACAGTAAGACGGTGCGGCGGAACGGATCGAGGCTGTTTCAAAGTCCTCAGAACTCAGCGCGTCGGTGCGCGTGGGGAAGAATCGCGGGTGTTCGGCGACGGCGGCGGCCATTTTGACGAACGAGACGCTTGGTGGGATGAGTTGCAAGTTGGGAAGCGCGTGGTCTCAACGAGTTCAGGTGTAGCCAGTCGAAGGTAGGATGCGAAAGGTGGAAGAGAAGATGGCGACCATCGGGCGGCAGAGGGAGAACCGGGCTCTCTTCAATAACGGTGAAGCGCAGCTCGAGCAGAGATGCGGCGGCGGGTAGTCTGATGTATGTTGAGATGTGTGCGTGTGTATGTGCTGTGCGCAGAGATAACGAGGGCGAGAGGGTCGCAGAGAAGGTTGGGAAATGAGCGTTCTGGACGTAGATGACGCCTTCCAAGGCTTCAAGTTCTAAGACACGAAGGTCAGGGGAGAGGAACAAGAAGCCGGTCACGCACGAAGCGATGGAACAAGAAAACGAAGTGGACGCCGCCCACGGATAAAGCAGCCCAGCGATGGCTGCAAGCTTTCAGTCCGAGCCGGCGGGAACTGGGATGCCTCTGCCCGAAAGGTGGGTGCCCTTGGTGCGTGGTATGTGGTGTACCGCCGTACGCAGCGAGTGTGCGTGCGTGGATGGGGGAGGGGTGTGCGGTGTAGGAGTGGAAGCTTGCGTCTTGGCGCAGCAGTAGCTTCGAGGCTCCTCGTATGTATCTTTGAGTAGATTTTGGGGATGGACGAGACCTTCTGTGGTTGTATAGAGGAGGTGCGGGACACGTGAGAAGGGACCAGAACAAACGGCGAGACCAACGACAGGAAGGCAAGGCCGGACGGAAGCAGGGTTCTGGGTTGATGTGGTTTGGATGTGTTTCTGTGGTGGTTTGGCAGGGCAGGACGATGCAGGTCAGATGTACAGTTTTCCTCTTTGAGAAGCAGAGGGAGGGGTGAGGGGTCGAGGCAGTGGAAGGGGGAAGCAGAAGAGGATGGATGGCATGCAGGTTGGGCGTGGAAGGTCCCCTTATACTAGATCAGGATAGGGAGGTAGAGGATGAGGAGGACCAGATCAATAAGCAAGCCAACAAGAGAAAGAAGTTCGCGTTGATATTTTAGCTGCTGGCCACGATAGACATGGTTGAACCGGGGCCGCGGATAAGAAAGGGGAAGCAGGCACCACGAAGCACGATGGGTAGACTGGAGACAAGACGGGAAGCAGCATCAGCGTCAGCAATGCAGGCTGGAGAGGCCGAGCAAGTGGAGGCACTGGGGGATAGTACCAAGTGGCCCACGGGGGCGTCGTGTTCCTGGCGCAAACGTGCCGGTGCCCAGCATTGGCTGACGACGATGGAGAAGCTGTCGGTTTAGCCATGGGCAGCGCCCCATTTGGGATTCTGGGGGGCGTGGAACAAGTGGAGGGCGAGGTGGATGACAGACGGGGAGAGAACTACTCAGTGAAGCGAACGGGTCAGGCTTGGTGAGGATGATGAAGCGAAGGGCGAATGTGGGAGTGAACGACAGGTACGATGCATACATAGCCTGGTCCGTTAAAGAGTCCAATCCCCATCAGCAGCCGCGGGAAGGCAGCAGCAGCAGTAGCAGCAGAGGGGGAGCATGAGTGACATTCCGAGGTTGAGGGTGAGGTGGGGAGTTGCGGCGCACTTGCTGCATTCTGGATGTTTACTACACAGCACACTAAGACTGAAGTAGCAAACTACGAATAGAGAGCGGGAATAAATGGCCACCGGAGAAAGGCCCGGTTTGGAAGGCCCGGTTTGGTTGTTGACTCTTGACGAGCAGACAGGCACAGCAAAGCAAAGCATAGCAATGATAAGAGGAGAGGGGAAAAGAAGAAGCAAGTGTCAGCTAGGCGCGGGGTCGTCGCCCATGGAAGGGCCCACTTCACTATAGGTACTTGACTTAACTTGACCTGAATTGTTGACCGCACTCAGCACAGCCCAGTCCAGGTCCAGGCCGGGCCACCCATCGAAAGCGCTCTTGCTGCAGCTGGAATTAATTAGCACAGCGCCGTCTTGGTCTTGCCCGTCGCTGAACTGAAAGGAAGAAGCATGCCCAAAGGTGCAACCTGTCGTCCCCATCCCCACCAACGCCGACGCCGCCCGAAGCCCCCGAGAGAGCTGTCAAAAACACCTCATCCCGTCACGTCTTTGCTTAACTTGTTTAGTACTGCTAGTAGCATCATCCCGGTGAGGCTTTTGCGGCATATTGTTTGGCGAGGAATAACGTTTGGGTGAGGCGCTGCGCACAGGCTGGTTCACATACGCGCCTGTCCTACAGAAACATCAACAGGAACACGGGAGGAGAGGATAGATACTGTGGTGGTTGATGTTAAGGCGGTCAGCAACGTACCTTACTGCGGCACGACAAGACAGACAGAGGGTACAAGTCATACATGGAAACGTTTTGTTTCCAGTTCTTGGTGGCCTCTCGTCCACTCGCCGGGTGCGCTGAGCTGCCTCTGGGGTCTTGGCAGGGAAACGCCGCGGCCTGTGAAGGGACCCCAATTCTATGGGTCTCGGCGGCTTTTGTACCGCTTTGTATCTCAGGTATTCGTACTCCCCTTCCAGAACACTCAACCACTTCCATTCTCGCTCTTGACTGCCCACGGCGAAGGGATGAGCGATAGCGGGGGGCTTGGGGGGTTACACCTCGGGCCAATCCACCCGCCAGCCATCTGCGAGCACGACAGGGATCGGGGGACATGGACGAGGACGGCCACCAAGAGGGACTGTGCCTTCTTTGCACCAAAGCATTTGCAGCGGAACTTGGTCCGGAGGCGAGGGGGAAAACACATGTAACGTAAGGTGGTAGATGCACAACTGGCAATGGTAATCACAATGCTGGAACTGAAAGTGCTAAACCTGAGAGCACCATCAACAGCATGGATGCCAGAATGTGACGAGACGGCGTCAGAATGAGGTGCTTGCCGTGTGCTTGTGCAGCACGATACGGAACACCCGCTGAACCCCCCGCCTTGCCCAGTCAAGAAACCCCACCACGGCGCCATGCAATCAACCTTGGTGAACTTGCCCTTTTCTCGGAGAAACATGTTACAACTTGTGGATTACGGGAGAACCACGCGTCTCAAACCAACTCCGAGCCAAACAGGTCCAAACAACCAACCTTCCATCGATACTCTATGGGGAGAGGGACAGACATGATGCGTTGTATGAGAGGTCTGAGCCAAGAATGCTAACTGGAGCTGTTGTGAACCCGCCCTAATCCACTATGACGAACAATCCTCCCCGGCCCAGCCCTACACCGGCAATCCCAAAACCTGCTTGTCCTGCCTCTCATTTTCCGAGGGATCGACTTTCCCGTCGCGTTGTTTGATGCGATGTATATGTTTGCTGTCGCTGCCATTCTGTTACCGTATTTGGCTTCAGGTTATCCCCGGACTGTGGATTAGGATGATGCTGCCGTGCAGGAGGGACAAGAACACATGTGTACCCCAGGCATACTTAGGTACTCCAAACAGAGTTGAGTAAGCATCACATTCGCAGCCACAGCTAGATGTCCCCTGAGCTAGACACACATCACCAAATGCCACCGCAGCGTGGTATCACTATCTCTCGGGGATGCTACATCATGGAAAGATAGAAAACAAAAAGGTGGCTTGGCCGGGCCCCGAATGTGGCACACGAGCACAAGAGCACAAGAGCACAAGAGCACAAGACCAACGCCCTTCCATTCCCTCACAAGACCAAGCCTCGCACACCTCACTCACAGTGTCATCCCCAAAAGGCCAGGGCCTGGGCTGTTCGGCATATGCAGCACGGAGGATTTCTCCAACTGATCATCGGCCACCCGGTCGATGCAGTTGTTCGTCCCTCCTCTCTCGCCCTCCATTTTAGGGTGTTTTTTTTTTCTCGGTCTACTGCCGTATGAACCGCCAGAATAAATACATCCAGATCGGCGCTGCCAAGGTTCACTGGAAAACAGCCGCTGGGCGATCGATCTGTATGTCGTTTTCTAGGAGGGGGGCGTACTTCTATGGCAACTTTCCAACGACTTCCATTCCTGATGGTGGAGAATTTTGCACCGTCAGCTTGAAGGCCCTTTTCTCTCCCGATTGAAGTGAGTATCTTATTTCCTTTCGTGGTATTGTGCTCCATAAAGAGAGACAACGACGTATTCGTAGAGATGACCAGCAGCTCGCAACCGGGCTCCCGGTCGCGATAGTGTCAGCATGTCGTCAACTTCTCCATACTCGGCACCCGTCATCCGCACGAAGCTCCATCAAGTATCCCAGAGCCCCTCCCTTTCCCATGGGTTCGCGGGGGGCAACCGCGACATGTCAACATGCAACATGACATATTGACAGACAGCGACAACAAACAAGAACTCCTGTTCAAGCGGAGGCTCTGGCGGCTGGCCGTTGAATCCATAGCTCTAGCCTGAGACACCTCACGAGCTCGGACACCGATCCGACCTGCCCATTTTTTTCGTCCGAATATCTGCGGCCTACCGAAAGGTAAACCTTGCCTCTAGGTAAAGATCAGACTGAAACAAGCGGCTACTAGTCCCGAGCAAAGTGCGTCATCTGGCCCATGTGGACGAAACGCAGCTTGAGCTTGTTTATACTACGCTCACAGGCGTAACTGGAACTCGAGCTTGCACAGCTGTGGCTGGGCATAGTGCTAAAAGTAATGGCAGGCCAAAATCGGTGATTGTATCTCTGGAACTTGCTCTAGTAACAGATATACATGGCCTCGAAAGCATTCATGGTACTGTCGCCCCACGACTCGGCTGTCCATTTGAAAGAATCCGCCGCCTGCTGGTCGACGTCGATGTTCACCTTCAACCCGTTCTTGTTGCTGGCGTCCAACCCCGTGAAGCCCGCGATGACGGTGCCGAACTCAACACCGACATTCTGCGTCTGGGACTTCGTCTTCCAGTTGCCCCCGTCAATCGCGTTGGCCGAGATGGTTCCGACACGCACCCCATGGCTTCGCGTCTTGTCGACGGCGATGAAGGAGCCAGAGGCCCACGCCAGCCGGGAATGTCCGTAGGAGGAGATGATGAGCTCAAAGGTTGTGTTCGTCACGTTTCCCAGGCGGACACGCAGGTTGAAGTTGTCGTCGGTGGTGCGGTGCAAGAACCCGGACAGCCAGACGCACACGGTGGGCGGCTGGCGGAATATCGGCGGTCGGGGGCGCCCGCCGTTGTCTGAGTCTTGAAACTTGACCACCTTGCGGAAACCCGTCGAAGTCACGGCGCCGGAGAACCAGTTGCCGACCAATATACCGGTTTCCGTGGGCGGCGGCGGGAAGTACCAGGACAGCCCGCCGCCCTGCAGGTCAGCGCTGTTGTCGCCGTCCTTATTGAGCGTGATGGGGAACTTGTGGTGCTTGTCTGGGAGCTTGGCGTACGCGGTGACGCCGGTGTGGTGGCCCTGCGCGATGTTCAGACGCTTCAGGCCGACGACCACTTTCTGGTCCACGGCTTCGACGTTCGTGTTGAGGAACACCGTGCCCGTGTTATGAGAGTGGCCGCTGCCGTCCTGGGAAGTGGCCCACGTATCCCATACGTTGGCGCCGTCTTGGAAAGCGTCGATGTCGGATGCGGTGCCGTATGCGGTCGTGTCTTTCAGCTCGCCTGCCCAGGCGTGGTCCTGTGTGACGAAGCGTCCGACGGTTCGGCCGAGCTGTGTGTATTCGACGGTGAGAGGGCTCTTGATGATATTGTGAGTTCGACTTGATCATACTGCGAGGGGCCTCCAGCTTCCAACATACCAGCTTGGTTGGCTTTGTGATTTGGCCGACGAGTCTGACGCCAACCTGTGGGCGATCGTTGTAATAGAAGAACGTCCCGCTGAAGGGACGGTCAGCAAGGCTCACTAAGTATCAATCTAGCAGACCTCTCACCGAAGGAATTGACGTTGCCACCACATGAAGAAAAGTCTGCCTCCGACCTCGAGCTTGAGCTTCTTGCGCAAGCCAGGAACTTCGACCTGATATGGTGAGCGAATGATGAATACGTATAACAACAACACAAGTGTTTGTACCTCTAGGCCCCAAGAAAACAATCCGGGATTCAAGTGGGCGGAACACCGAATGGCAGTGTTGAACACAACCATCTCCTTGATCTCGTCTTCTGATAGATTTCGTCCACCGAGATCAAGGGGCTCGGTGGCGACAGGCTTTTCGGTCGAGATGCCGGGCGATGAAGTCGGGAGCTCATCAGTGTCGTCATTGCTACCGTGAGATACAATATCGGCAGGGGTCGCCGCGACATCCTGCTGAGGGGGGGCGATTTCTGCCATTCCGATGTGATTGAGGATGCGACTTTGCGATGTCTTGAAATGACCTGGGAATGATGAAGGTCAACTTAGTTCGACACCGCGTCACCGTCCTTTTATATTCATCATGTGTCCGCGGGCAGCTCGGCGACATTAAAACACTAGACAGCTTCTCATGGACGCTTGAGACACGGCGTCACCGTAGACAATAGTGTTGTGAACTGCCGATAGGGCCGCTCGTATCCAGTTAGACGCCAGATACGGCTCAAATCTATGTCTGGTTGAAATGTGTTCAGCTATTCATCAGCCGGGTGGGTGATATATCAGCGTCATATCGGCAAGCCCGTCGGCATGCTGGGAAAAATCGTAAATCGTGGCGTTGAAGTGTTGAGCTGAGAGCCTCAGCTGAGTCTCTCAGCTGAGAGAAGCTTGCGGTGCATATTGACGGTCCTAGTGTCTGCAAGGAGGCTACAAACGACTTTGATTAGCTTCAGCTTACATCTTCCGTCTCAGCCTATACTTTCAGTTTTACTTCGGCTTGTAACTCTCCTGTAAAGCATTCAACCATGGATTGGCTTGGTTGGCTCTGTATACGAGATTGTAAGTCGAATTTCTAACACCGTTGCTGTTGGGTATGGTTGATGTTTGTGACATGAGCTCAGCAAAGCTCTTCCACTAACAACCTATATTCTAAAACTGACGAAGAATGTGGTTGTCATTTGAGGCAGCGATTTCATATAAATTACAATAAAACTACCTTGTACCCTCTTACAAAGTGGACAAAGAAACTTTCACCAACACAAAGTAAATCGATTATCTCTTTTTGCTTTTGATTTACCCCAAACAGCATCTCACCCTGATATTCGTCCATTCAGTTCACAACTCCCATAACAAGAGCCATGGAGAACCGCCGTCTGGGTTACTACGTACAATCCCACACATACGATCGCGATCCCAAGCGATGGCTGTCAATGCTCCCGCTCGGCGAGCCTAGCCGACACACTTCTCACATCATCATATCCGCTTTCCATCTGAACTACACCAAGGACGACGGCGCCGGCAACCACAAGATCTACCTCAACGACGAGATCTACGACCAAGGCGACAACGTCAGAGTGTGGGAAGAAGCCGCCGAGCTGCAGCAGAAGGGCATTCTCATCTTTGGGCTGTGCGGCGGGATCTGGGAAGCGACTGGCCTCGGCGGCGGCGATGCCGAGTTCGACAAAGGCTACAAGCTCATCAAGGACATGATCGCGGCCAAGAAGCTTGACGGCGTCGACCTCAACGTCGAGCCCCACAATCCCATCGGCGTGCAGGACATCGGCAACGAGGGAGTGAGGAAGGTAATCAAGAAACTCAAGGCTGACTTTCCGCATTTGCTCATCACCATGGCTCCTGGCGGCGGCGAACTGCTGAGCCCGGGGGGACTGTCCGGGGTCGATTATCAGACACTGTTCCGAGAGGAGGGTATGCACGATGCTATATCGTGGTTCAACGTGCAGCTGTACAACAACTGGGGAACGCTGGATGTGGATGAGTTCAGCAGCTATGTGGCCGCCGGCTTCCCGGCAAACAAGCTCGTTCTGAACTTGGTGGGGAACCCCGACCCGGAAGAAGCTGCCGATGGCTGGATTGATGGGCCGACCATCAAGACGGGTGTCGAGGCGATCATGAAGAAGTTCCCGGGCATGGGCGGCATCGATTGCTGGGATTGGTACAACGCCACTCTTGATGGCAAGGAGCCCGTTAAGCATCCCGAGGCTTGGTCTGATTTTGTGAGCGCTGTTCTCTTCCCCGACGGCCACCACAACAGTGCCTCATGAGTGTTCGTCGTGTGTGCTAGAGATGGGAGGTCGGTGGTCGAACTTGGCCTCGAGCTTGGGTGGAAGCTCGAGGTCAAGATTTGATGGGAAGCCACTGGAACTCCTGACATTGGCTGTCGCTGGTAGTCATGACAATCATGGTGTAGTAAGAATTCGGGGCTTTGGAAGTGCTAGAATTGAATACAACTCTCACAAACATCAGTGCTGGTAGGGCGGCAAACGGATTATTGACTTCGCTGCAACGGGCGGGATGTACTTGGTCCCCATCTTGACATCTCGATTTCCTAGTAACAATCAGGATTGCATCTTTAGTCCCATCTCCCCCAGGCAGCAGGGCACTAAACAAGGCGGCAGCGGCGGCTCAAGCAAATAGAAACCGCTAAGTCCTACTTGCTAGCTAAGAGCTAAGACGACGTGCAGTCTCAGCCTTAGTTAGCACCACCACCACCACTACCTTCGCCCTCCACCCCTCAAACGCTTTAGTCGTCCTTCTTCCCAACCGTGCCGCCCTTCCTCAGCCCCCAGAACGCAATGACGACAACGGCCACCGTCGCCGCGAAGATGGCCCAGAAACCGGCGCGGTAGCCGGCCATGCGCGCTTCCCTCTCGTCGGGGGCGGTCGAGTGCTCCGTCACGGAAGACGCGATAGCCGCCGTCACGGCTAATCCCACCGCGTTGCCGATCTGGCCGACCTCAGCGAAGACGCCGCCGGCGAGGGATTGGAGGTCTGCCGGGAAGGCGTCGGAGATGATGAGGTTCGAGACGGTGAAGAGGGCTGTTGTTGTGAGTTGCGTCAGTCTTGCGGTTACTTCTCAAGAGCCGAAAAGGGGGGTGTACCGTCTGCGCTGACTGGTGATAGAGCGAGGGCCCAGAAGGGCGCGTACCAGTAGTAGCCGTCGATTTTGACCGTGGCCATCGCGAGGGGCGCGGCGATGGTGATGAGGGCGGAGACGCCGGCTAGGGATTGTACCTTAACTCTAGAGACGAGGTATGCGCACGCCATGTTCACGATTGTGCCTGTGATGATGTGCGGGAGGAAGCGGAGGCAACTTTGGAGAGCGGATACATGTTGGACTTCTTGGAAACTAGAAGGACGAATAAGTCTTTGCGTTCTTACTTTGAGACTGTTTTTGACTCACAATAACATGATGAAGTACTGAATCGAATTCAGTGCGGCCCAACTGAGAAAGATGGATACCTGTTCGGTGTAAGATGCAATGTTGAGTGTGTGATCAGAAAAGCCGACGTACGCAGATGGATGTGAAGGCTGCATTTCGCCACAAACGGTTTGGAATGAGCGCCGGTCGATTCTTCTTGACTTGGAAGTCCATCCAAATCGGAAAAGCAACCAATAAAACGACAGCTACGACGAGAAGAGCAATGTTGGAGGCGTCGCTAAGTTTCGTGTAAGACGAGGTTGTCATGGCCAGAACATACAGCAGCAGACCCAAAGCGACGCTCACGATGACAGCCCCGATCCAGTCAATGTCCTCGGTGAGCCGGCGAGTCCACGTCTTCTCAGACTGTCGATGCACAGATGGAAGAGACCAGATTGCCGCTGTTGAGAGGCAAACGTTTATCATGGCCATTATGTAGTACCCCCACCGCCATCCGATGGTGTCTGCGACAATTCCACCGACGACTAGACCAAGCGCGTAGCCCAAAGGGAATCCGATGCCGTTCATGGAGAAGGCGACGTTACGCCAGTTCCCCTTGGGAAAGGTGCTCGTGATGAAGCTCATGGCGGTTGGGAGGCACATTGAGATTGAGATTCCCAGCACCGTGCGGAAGAGGATAAGCTGGATACCGGTCCTGGCCAGGCCGACGGCCACCGTAAAGATGGCATAGAGAAAGCTGCCTGTCAGCCACATCAGTTTCGCGCCGACGACTTCGGCGACGGCGCCGAAGATGAGGAGGAGACAGCCTGCTGCCAGGGAGTAGACCGCGGCTGGCCATAGCGAGAGACCATCGGCGAGGCCCACATCCGCAGCGATTCGTGGGAGGGCAGCGATGAGGATGCCTGATCCCATCGTGTTGAGGAAGTTGACGCCTGCGAGTGTGACGATGACAGTGACGCCTTTTGCTTTGGAGACATTTCTGGAGGGGTTGCCAGTTGGGTTCTCGGTGTCTGTTGTAGGTTGCGTATGGATGATGTCCTGCTGGTCTAGAGACTTTGGTGTTTGGCTGCGTTTACTCTTTGAAGGCTTCAGAGATTGCATCTCGATGGTCGACGCCGCTTGACTTGGGGCATCCTGGACCAACAGGGCCTCTGGCATTGCCTCTTTGAGACCAATCATTGTGTACAATCAGTGAGAGGGTTGGACGAGAAACACTGGAAGCTTATGCACCACGAAGTTATGGTTAATGAATATATCGTCAGCACGACTCTCTAAAAACGTCGCATTTGCACTTGCAAGGGCGTGCAAGAATCAGGTGATTGGGACAACCCGGGCCAATCACTCGCAACTTTTGCAAGAAAGCTCCAGGATTACCAATCAACCGAGATTCATATTAACAAACGAACGAGGAAAGACGAAAGTTCCCAGGGGAACGCGGGCATAACGAAGCTGACGCCATCGTTCAAACCCCTCCAGTGAGAGTGAATAAGTATGGACGGTCAACCTGAGGCGTGCCGCAACATTCGCTCCACCAATCTGGAATTGGAGATATTTCCGGGTTGGGAAGTCCTAGAAGCTCGGACCAGGTGTGCTGACATAGGTACCTAGAGAGGAACGGGGGCAGATGAGCACGTGATCCCGCGTACAGTGCGCCACGCTCGACGCGCTGGCGGGGGTGGGCTGCCTTGAGCTTGACGAAGTCGCAGTTCACGTCTGCGTCGCTTTTTTCGCAGCGAGCGCCGTGAGCTCCTCCAGCGGAAACCTTCCTCGCCGCCCTCGGTCTCTCGCCCCCAAGCTTCCCCTGAGCCAAGAGACGATGCCGACGAGACCATGGCGGCAGAACAGCTGTACGGCAAACCTGCTGGCGCAGTTGCCAATGCGCCGCCTCCCTCCACGTTAGCCGCCCAACTCGTCGAAAACCTTCCTGCTTCGACAAAGTCCACACGATCCGATGAGAACACCGAGCTGAGAAGCTTGTCCGCCGTCATCGAGCGGGTCAAGAACAACCCTGGGTTGCTGCGAACACCCGACGAACGAACGGAGCACAATCATATGCTCATATACGTCTATTCCCGCGTCGTCCTAGACGGAATCAAGCTCGACGATCCTTTCGCCGACAAGAAGGTTATACGGAGCGAGGCATTGAAGGCGATCAACTTCTTGAAAGTCACGATCGAGGAGACACCGATTGTCATGAACTATACCACGGACGGGAAACAGTTTGTGTTCCGCGGGGAGGAGCCACTTTGGGTCTGGGTCTTTCCCAAGGTCCTGAAACTGCTTGGCCATGCTCGCTGCCTTGACCTCACGGCTCCAATCGAAGAGTTCTTTCGGTTCATCATCTTGGTGGTGAGTGGAGTTGGTTCAATGGGAGCGCTGCTGTCGTCCATGCTGCTTTACCTGCGAGAAACAAGCAATGGTGAGTTGCCCGTCAGAATGCGTCAACACACCATGATGACTAATGGTCACAGCTCTCCTGTCTCGCCTACAAGAGACGGCGCCTATTGCCCCTGCACAGGATGCGACTATAGACATGAGCCTTCCTCCTGCCGGTACACTCGAGCTGCTCCTGGGAAAACCTGGCATTCTCTTCGTACAACAGACTACATACGCTGTCCCGCATGCGTCACAAGCCGTGCGCCAAGCAGCAGCTCTAATATCAACACTCGCACACCCGTCCATTGCTAGATACTCGAGCCCTCTGTCACGCGCGCCGTTTGTCGAGCTGAGACTATGGTTGCTCGACTCGTTGCTTTCCCTACGTGCTGTGCAAAACACATGGCAGCCCGTTGCCCCAAGCGCAAAGGCTGATTTGCTCAACGTATCCCTTGGCCTGCTTCCAGACGAGCTGTCTACAGGCAAGAAAGCCTTGCTACCGCAGAAAGCGTACACTTCTCTGGCGTTATTGTGTGCCGAGCTCGCAGCACGGCCGGATGAGATTGCAGGCCCAGATGAATCGAGTCAAGCAGCGAGGAGAACACTCTGTAAAGCACTCCTGAGACTTGCCCAAGTGTCGCTAGTAGACCGAGAGATTGGAAGACTGGCAGCACCTCAGGTCGTTTGGCCACTCGAGCTGCTCTGCATCGAAGTACCCGTACTAGGGGAACCAAGTGACTTTTCAGTACGTTGATGCTCTGCACTCTCTGACCTAGCACTGACATGCGCAGCGTTCTATCAGTGTCCTTAAACAAGCAACAGCACCGACTGTACCCTCAAAATTAGACGACGCAACCCTGCCAGCTTGCTTCACGGACACCGAATTACGAACTCTGGTCGAACGTCTTGGCATTGCAGAAAGTGACATAGAAAGCGTCACAGTCGATGACGAGCCTGCGACCAAGCGGCGAAAAGTCCTGACTGGAGGCAATGAGCTTGTGGAACTGACAGCACGCATTGACGAAGTTCTTGGAGTTGTGAACGATCTAGGCAATCTGGAACATAAGTTTTTGTAAGGCGTCGTCTTTCTCTAGTTCCCATGGGGGAGGCTAACTTCTCTAGAAACGCCTATCCACATATCAATGTCAAGAGCCAATGCCTCGCAATTGATCTGATCTCCCGCACTTGCTGCGCTGCGGACGCGATCACTCAAACGGACAGCCCATTCGCAGCAAAGGACGGAAAGATTATTTGTGACGTATGCGATCGCAAAGACGAAGGGCCGAAGAGGCCTGAAGCTATTGACACCGAAACGAAAAGAGAGGCCCAATCGATATTCACAAAACTCATCAACCTCCCTTCCTTCAAGAACTCCAGAAGGCCAAGAGTAGTGGCAATGATCGCCCTCAGACGCATCATAAATCATACAGATGAAGCTGAGCTGTTTGACCTCGAAACTTCTCCCTTGGGGCAGTGGTGTCTGCAAGGATTGCATAGCTCTATCAGAGAAATACGCATCGCTTCAGGGTATGCTTCCCTATCTTTCCCATCTTGCATGGCTAATTTTATTCGACAGACGGGCTTTGGCTCTCTTCTTGAAGAAACAAGCCTCTAGCACGATAGACATCAGTGTCGTACACCGAAATCGCAAGAACGCGCTTGGTCTTCTCAAAGCTGCATCGGAAAAGGATGCAGTAATCTTCCACGAGACTGGGGTAATGGCGTGGAGCCAGCTGGGACGGTAGGCACCACTGACAACAGCATCATCTTTGGGCTAAGATATTGACATCACTTAGAGTGGTCACCGGGGACGAACTAAACATAGTATTGCACCAGTTACTCGAATATCTCGGAAGCAGCAACAGTCTGATATCTTCCTGTGCCTTCAATGAGGTATGTTCTTGGTGCCGTCTTTGAGCCACCTTGACTGACGTATTCAGATCAACAACTTGGCTGCTGCCCGGCATGTAGCACCACGCCGCTTGTTCGAGCCTTTCTGGAGAAATCTCGCCTACTTCGCTGTTAAAGATATGGTGGCACGACCGCAAATCAGCCGGTCGCTGGCCGAAATCTTGCAAATCTCTGTGAACGAGTTCCTTCTACTCATCCAAACTCATGCTCTGCCATGGCTGGTATTGATGAAGAAGAGGGATGTAATCCAAAAGATTGCTGAGGCCCGTGGGGAAAAGGACGTTGGTTTCCCGGTGATGGACTCTATTAATATCGGTCCAGTCCTCGGATTGCTTTTAGTGCAAGACGTGCCGGACGTGGCGCAATTCACCATGGCGAGGCTTGTCGAGTTTGCGCCAACTCTCGCTGATACCACGCTGGCTGATGTGATACAGGCCGAACTTGTTATGGTTGTCCTCGAGCTGCTCAAAGCTGCGGCTGAAGCAGACGAAGCCCGCAAGGCCCGTGTGAGTTTTTACGCTGTGAAAATACCGCATTCTTACTGATTTATTTTGAGGTTATCGATGCCATCACCACAATGTGCAACTTGGTTATGGCCGCGAACAAGGAGAAGCCCAAGAAGGGCAATCTCATCGGTCGTTTCCTCCAGGCGTACATGCTTGGCCTTATGGCTCGCCTGGCGGACGTCATCAATGATTTTCATGGGCTATGCCTGCCTCCCGAGGAACAAATACGTTGCATTCGAGCATTGGAGGAAGCGATCAAGCTTTGCCAGTCTTACGTGCGCATTGCTCGGCCACATGTGAGTTGACGCGACCATCAGACTGGTTTCCTTTACTGATCCCTGTAGATTGCTGCTTGTCTTCTGTCGGCCATTGCTCAGGACGAGCTCAGAGAGGCGGCGTTTTCCTGCTGGGCGGTCCTTCTGACCTACCTTGAAGAAGAGGACGTTGAAGTCTTGTTGGAAACGACGTTCTTCATTATCAATCATTATTGGCCTGTGTTTGACGACAACACACGCATCAAGGCCAAACATCTGATTTCCACCATTATAAAGCACTTCAGCGCAGTAATCGAGATGTACATCTGGAAGTTGCCATCATTGGCACATATTCCTGAACTGGCTGAAGTGGAAGCTCAGCTCCAGAAAGTGCGCCGAGATCAACCCATCGAAAGCAGGACAGCATTTGCCATCTTTGCAGCCCGAGTGGCACACGAGAACTCGGGCGTTGTGCTTCAAGCTCTCAGAGAGCTTGTCGCATACCTCAAACAGCACAGTGGTTCCCTACAGACGTCCGCGATTGGCCAGCAGCCGGATCCTGTGTTATCGACGCTGCTCCGCGCCTTGCTGGATTGCGCTTCAGAGTACAGCACTGTGCAGCCCGAAATCGCTAGCCTGTGTACTCAATGCATCGGTCTGGTCGGGTGCCTTGACTCTAATAGAATTGAGGCTGTCAGAGAGCAGAAGTCCATGGTCTTATTGAACAACTTTGAGAACGCAGATGAGACGACGGACTTTGTGCTCTTCATCCTGGAGCAAATCCTGGTCAAGGCCTTCCTTTCCACGACAGACACAAAGCTCCAAGGCTTCTTGTCTTTTGCCATGCAAGAACTCCTGGACAAAGTGGATATCAAGGCAGCCTGTGCCTTCCGAAGCACGGGAATGAGAGACGGCGATCTGATCTACAGAAAATGGCTCACTCTACCTGAAGGCATTCGGGAGACTCTGACCCCATTTTTGACCTCCAAGTACGTCTTAACACCTGTTACGCCTGCGCCTGTTGAGTATCCCATTTTCCGTCCGGGTAAGCCGTATGGGAATTGGATGCGTTCCTTCACCATGGATCTTTTGCGTAGAGGACAGAATTGGCACGCAGATCTCATTTTCGGGCCGCTGGCTCGTACTATTCGGGTCAAGGATGTCGCGGTAGCAGAGTTCCTGCTTCCATACTTGGTCCTCCACGTCATCATTGGCAACAGAAGCACGCAGAAAGATCGTGACAATATTATCGGCGAGCTGGTTGGCATCCTCCAGCACCAGCTTGCCGAAGATGCTCCGTACGCGGAGAGGGAGGATACGAAGCTTTACTGTGAGGTAACGAGGCAGCCCATCCCAAGCATATGTGACGATTTTGCTAAGCAAAACATAGGCCGTCTTCCGAGTGCTTGATTATGCAAGCAGGTGGCTGCAGGAAAAGAATGCTAGGCGCAAAAATGACAGCGATCTTCCGTCCATAGCAAGGGTGGATGACCTGCTGAGCACAATTCCGCCGGTCTTGATTTCCCAGCGAGCTATGGACTGCAGGGAATATCCAAGAGCCCTGTTCCACCTCGAGCAACACGCCCAACAAATGGAAGTCGAGAAGAGCGACCCCCAGCAAAGAACGCTGCTCCTTGAGCAATTGCAGGATATATACACCCAGATTGACGAGCCTGATGGGCTAGAGGGGATTTCAGCTCACCTCCACGTTCTCGATATCAACCAACAAATCCTCAGTCACAAGAAGGCGGGCAGATATACGGCGGCTCAGACGTGGTATGAGATCAAGTTGGCAGAAGAGCCCAACAACATCGACGTACAGGTTGACCTTTTGAACTGCCTGAAACAATCTGGACAACATGGTGAGTATCTTGCGGTACGTTCTCAAGAAGATAAGCTAAGAAGTGTAGATGTTCTGCTCAACTATGTTGAAGGTATGCATACGGAACCGTCGATGGAAAACAAAATTGTTCCGTATGCGGTCGAGGCAGCCTGGGCGACCCGCCGATGGGACACTCTGTCCAAGTACACGAGCCGTTTTCATGGCAGCACTTTGGAAGACTTCAACGTTAGCGTTGGCCAGATCTTTAACACTCTGAAGCAAGAGGGCGCCGAGGGAGTCGCAATCTCTCAAATGTTGCAGAGTATGAGGGAAAAGATTGCCTCAGCGATGACTTATTCCGCGACATCCTCACTACAAGCCTGCCACGATCTGAGGCTTCGATGCCACGTACTGACCGATCTGGAAATCATTGTTGGGATGCAAGAAGGGAATGATGATGCTCGCCAAGACGTTTTGACAATGCTCAACCGGCGATTGGAAGTGCTAGGTGCATATGTCAATGACAAACAATACCTCTTGGGAATTCGCAGAGCAGCCATGGAGCTCTCACGGTATGTTACCCCGATGCCCGTCAACGAGCCACTTCTAACGATAATCAGACCCAAGTTTTGCGACTCAGACATCTCTTCGTCGTGGCTTTCCAGTGCGCGTCTGGCTAGAAAAGCGAATTCCACACACCAGTCATTTAATGCAGTTCTCCATGCTTCTCAACTACAAGACAATGCCGCCGTCATTGAGAATGCCCGACTCCTTTGGAAAGACGGCCACACACGCAAGGCGATTCAGGTTCTCCAGGGCGCCATCGAATCCAACAACTTCATGACACAAACAAATAGCACCTCTTCCGCTCGGGGCCTCGACTCGCAGCAGAGACTTCTGACAGCCAGAGCACAGCTCATGCTTGCCAAGTGGTTGGATGCGGCAGGCCAAACGAACAACGCTGCTCTGCGCGTCAAATATCAACAGCCTCCCAAGACAAACTCATCGTGGGAGAAGGGCCATTACTACCTAGGACGTTACTACAAAAAGCTGCTGGAGACCGAGAAGCCTCTGAAACCAGACGAGCAAAGTGATGCCTTTGTGCAAGGCGAGATTGCCAGGCTGGTTATTGAGAACTATCTCCGATCACTCAACTATGGCACCAAGTATCTTTACCAGACCTTGCCGAGAATTTTAACGTTATGGCTCGAATTGGGAGCACAAGTGGACAAGGCTCCCGAAGGCAAGGTCTCGTTGTCCCGCGAGCTCCATAGGAGGCGGACGGAGCAGCTCAATCTCCTTCATGCCTTCCTCGACAAATACATCGCTCGCCTTCCGGCCTACATATTTTACACGGCCCTCCCGCAGATCGTTGCGAGAATTGCCCACCAGAACCAAGCTGTGTTTGAACGCCTAACACGCATTGTCACCAAAGTTGTGGAGTCACATCCTCGACAAGCACTCTGGGGCTTATTTGGGATCATGACCACGAGACAAGCTTCAGAGCGGCGAGTGCGAGGTCAGCATATCTTGCAAGCGCTGAAGGGAATCTCCAAGAAGGTTGAAGGAAGCAGCTATGACCTCAAGCAGCTACTGAGAATGGGCGAGAAACTCGCAGAGCAGCTTCTGCTGGCTTGCAACAACGGGGACTTCCAGAGCAACAGGACGACGGTGGCAAGCATCACGCGAGATCTCAACTTCAACCACAAGTGCACGCCCTGCCCCCTAGTGGTCCCCATTGAGTCTTGTCTGACAGCTACGTTGCCGACATTGACGGACAACGTCAAGAAGCACAAGGCATTCTCTCAGGATGTTATCACCATCGACTCCTTCCTAGATGAGGTCCTGGTTCTAGGATCGCTGGCTAAACCGAGGCGGCTAACATGTCGCGGAACGGATGGCAAGAACTACATGCTCATGATCAAACCGAAGGACGACTTACGAACGGATCAGCGTCTAATGGAGTTCAACGGGATGATTAACCGGTCACTCAAACGTGACGCCGAGGCCAGCAGGCGTCAATTGTATATCAAGACGTACGCTGTCGTGCCTCTCAACGAAGAGTGCGGCATCATTGAATGGGTCGATGGGCTTAAGACTCTTCGAGAAATCCTTTTAGACCAGTACAAGTCTCGGTCCGTCCATCCTGACTATAACCAGATCAAGAGGATGATGTCGGAGGCTGTGACGGGGCCGAACAATATCAAAATCTTCACGGAGGGCGTGTTGGGGACGTTCCCGCCAGTGCTGCAGTACTGGTTCGTGCAGCGATTCCCTCATCCCTCGACGTGGTTCTCGGCTCGGCTCAAGTACACTCGCTCTTGCGCAGTCATGTCTATGGTCGGCACCATTCTCGGTCTGGGCGACCGCCACGGCGAGAATGTCCTTCTCGAGCGCGACAACGGCGGCATTTTCCACGTCGACTTCAATTGTTTATTCGATAAAGGACTGACGTTCGCACAACCGGAGAGGGTGCCTTTCCGTCTGACACACAACATGGTTGCTGCCATGGGCATCTACGGATACGAGGGACCCTTCCGCCACTGCAGCGAGTTGACGCTGGGCATCCTGCGGCAACAGGAGGAGACGCTGATGACGATTCTCGAGGCGTTCATCTACGACCCCACCTTGGATCTGCAAAAGGAGAAGAAAACAAGCCGCAGATCGGATGGCGCGCCGCGGATGCAGCCGCAGCTTGTCGTCGACAGTATAAAACGGAAGGTGAGGGGCCTGATGGGTCCAGATCCTATTCCGCTGGGAGTTGAGGGACAAGTGGAGGAGTTGATCAAGCAGGCGGTCGATCCCAGGAACCTGGCGGCCATGTATATTGGTTGGTGTCCCTTCTTGTAGTTTGGAGTTTTGGAGGAGATTGCATGTTCATGATGTATTGGGATTGGAGGTAGACATGGGCTTTGATAAGGAAGCTGGGAAGAAGGGAACCACCGAGATTTGGTGTTGGTAGTTTATGCAAAAGCTGTATGATATTCGATGCAAAACGAGGGCAATATTAAGTAGCCTTTGTCTACATATGCATACCTGGTGCGATTCTAGCGCGATCTCGACTATTGTCTGTCAAAGGAAGAGCATCTGACGTATCTGTTGTTTGTTTCAAAGATAAGACGGTTCACTTGCATTCCTCCCTTCCACCGTACAACACGTGTCGAGCATACTTGATCCGGGGTCGCCAACTGTGCCTCCCGTGTCCCGCTGGCTGCCTGGCGAGCGTTAGGCTGCTGCGCCGGGGGCCCTCAACCGCTGGAGCTACGGGGAAGCTTGGGACGTGCCTGCCTAAAGTCAGGGGGAGATGGAACCTGAACGCGCTGGAGCTCTCACCTTACGGGCAACGACGAGAGCACACCCCTTTCCTGCCAGCTTTCCCATTGAAATTTGCGACCGCTACGCTGCTGCAGCTTGCCTTCCCCGAGCTTTCCTTCTTCATTTCCCTCCCTCTCGTTTCTTTTTCTTCCCAACCCTGATTTTCTCTCTCAAACTCCCCCTTTTATTTTCAAATCACCCAAAGCATTCTCTTCCATCAACGGAACGATCGGAATCCAAAGTATTGAAGATGCCTGATTATCGTGTTGGTAGGTTCATTGTTTTATTTCCTTCGTCGCAGCGATGAAAAAGGCCACGGGCGGCTGGCGGGCAACGGGTGCAGCGGTCGCGTCGGAAGCGGACGCGTCAAGCTACCTGACCAGTGACTGAACCTTACGTCATGAGAGCCTCAACCTTTGGAGAAGCTCTGTTTCCAGATACCACCAATTGCTATTTCTTTTTTCTCTCTTCTCTTCTTCGGCGCATCACGCCTAGTAACTGCTAATCGTTTTCTTTTGCGATATAGAGGTGTCGCCTAACAATCGCGCCGGATGTCAGGATGGCGTCTGCAAGAAGGAGGCCCAAAAGTGCATGAAGGGCTCGCTGCGCTTCGGTACCTGGACTGAGATCATGGGCCATGGCTCCTGGCGGTGGAAGCACTGGTAAGTTGACGAATCACTCTTGAGCGCTTCGGTTCTCGCCATCTCTTCACCATGCACAAGCTGGTATGATGCTGCGGGATCTAGTCTAACAACTCATCGCACAGGGGCTGCGTGTCTGGCGAGCAGATTTCGCACCTTCGCGATATTGTCGAGAGGGGTGGCGGATACGACTTTGATGCAGTTGACGGATACGACGAGATGGGGTAAGTTCATGCGTCCTTTCATAACTCTTTTCATGAGTAGGCATCCGATGATGAACATGCGGCTGACTGGCCCCCCAGCGAGCACTCTGACCTGCAGCAGAAGATCCGTGATGCCATTAAGCAAGGCCACATCTCTGCCGAGGACTTCAATGGTGACCCTTGGATGAACAAGCCTGGTCAGCGCGGCATCCGTGGCAAGAAGCCCAAGGACTGGGACGATGGCGAGGTATGCTAGCCCCCACGCACTCATGAAGTTCCACTCACTTACACATTGACAGGAGGGTGATGAGGCCAAGGACGAAGCCCCTGCCCCCGCCGCCACCAACGGCAAGAAGCGCGGTCGCAAGTCCGCCGGCGCCGCCGATGAGGACGAAGAGGAGAAGCCCAAGAAGCGTGCCAAGAAGGCTGCTGCCAAGGCCGAGCCCGAGGACGAGGAGGAGAAGCCCAAGAAGGCTCCGGCGAAGCGTGGAAAGGCCGCTGCTGCTGCCAAAGCCGCTGCCGCCGAAGAGGACGAGGAAGAGGAGAAACCCAAGAAGGCCCCGGCCAAGCGCGGCGCCCGCAAGTCTGCCGTCAAAGAGGAGTCCGACGGGGAGGAGGAGGCCCCGAAGAAGCCTGCCGCCAAGCGTGGAGCTCGAAAGTCCGCCGTGAAGGAGGAGTCTGAGGAAGAAGAGGAGAAGCCCGCCCCCAAGCGCGGCGCCGCTGCGAAAAAGACTGCTCCCAAGAGGGCGGCTACGAAGAAGGCCAAGGTTGAGGAGTCGGAGGAGTCTGAGGCCGAACCCGAGGCTACCCCTGAGTCGGAGGAGGAGGAGGAGAAGCCTGCGCCGAAGAAGGCCGCTCCGAATGGCCGCAAGAAGGCTGCTGCTGCACCTGCTGCTGCCGCCGAGGACAAGCCCAAGCGCGGTCGTGCTCGCAAGTGAGGTTTGTCGAGCTGGCATGCCTACGGAGACCGTCACAGGTCGGCGGCTGTGATCCACGAGCGGCGTTCCTCTATCGCCGTTTGTTTGACGAGTTTCTTCCGTTTCAAAGGCCGGGGGAAACCCCTCTGCCGGAACTGAAGCCGCCGCTCTCTCTCTCTTAGCAGCCGTTTGTTTCTTCGAGTTCATACCCACCGATGCGACGACACTACTTTCAGCTATGATGGACTTTTAAGGGGAAGGATGTACAACTACCACTTGCTTCTACCGTTTACTTGTTACGTGGATGAGAGCAACTCATGAAAAGAAGATAACAGAAAGTTTGTTTTATTTCTTTATAGGAAAGGCTGAGTTATTTCAGCCTCTGAGCTCAAGATAATGAAAGTTCTCCACTGCTATATTCGGTGTCATTCTTAGTTTGTTATCAAGAGTGTGAGACTTTCTCTAGCGTTGCGAAGACTACGTGACACAAGTGTTCAGAATGATGCAGTTCGTGAGGTAGAGAAAACCTAACGAGGAAGACAGCAGATAGATCCCAAGTCCGGAGACGCTATCAGCTATGGCGAAGTATACTACCTTGGGCAGCTTAAAACAAGCAAAAAGAGTGAAAAAAAACCCTGGGATGAAGACAAGAAGTGAAGGAAGGAGTGAAAGCAAAAGAAACAATGAGGCAAAAAGCTCAAACGCGGGATTCGAAACCGCAGACCCTACGAAACCATTTTGTGGGATTTCATACCAAGTTCAAACTAACGACTGAGCGCGTTATACCTCTGGGCCACTTGGCCCTTCATCAGGCTTGGTTGACGGCAACGAGGCCGGGAGCTTGATAAGAAGGGTGGTTCGAAGGAAGGATGGAAGTCAAGCACATAGTGCGGGATATGAGTGCGGAAGGAGCAGGTGTGAAAGGAAGGAAGGAAGGAAGCTAGGTGGGGAGGACCATTCCTAGGTCGAGCCCGGACCTTATCTTCTCTCCATGGGACTGGGACAGCTATTAGTTTCACATGTTACTGCCGCGTGGCGGACTTCTTTTTCAATTTGTCTCAACACAAGACGAGATCACCTATGTACAGGGCGAGTATTTCACGATCATTCGCGAATGACATGCCGCTATGCATATTGCTATCCAAATCACGGAGAAACATTCTAGGCATATCCTACTAAGATAGCTGCGTATATTACCCACGGTTGCAAATATCTCTCGCCATTGTCGTTGCTTCTGCTTGAGCGAAGTCAAGCTCTTGCCTCACTCACACGGCTCTTTGAAACCAGGTGTTTTGTTTTTCAAAGATCCCCATATAGTACGAACCAAGAACTGAGAATATCCAAGCCATATCATACGCCTGCGTGTTCTTGAATGGCTACTTGTCTGTGGGTGGTGCTATCAGATATTTTACGGGGCTTAAATCGGGACAAAAATGTACCTTGGACTGCCGACGGCTATATGTGACATGATATAACGGTCTGGTTATGGGAACAGTGTTCGGGTCCTGTCAAATCGGATACTGGACTTGGTCCAGATTGAGTCACCCTCGGTGGCACAAGCTTGAAGTAGTTGTTCATCAGCTATTGCATGGGCGATACACCTACTCATAAGTTAAACTTGCACACTGGCAAGTATTATTGTCACTTGTGTCAACAAAACTCGTTTAATACCCAGCAGCTGGGTCAGCCACATTTTAAATCACAAGCAGGCAAGCAAGCATTTGTGTCATAAATCGTTATTGATCCTAATACAATCTAACTCCGCCCTATTCTCCGCCGCTATGTAGTGTTCGTAAATCGTTACACATGTGCCGGGCAGAAAAGCCAGTAAATGGGTAAAATGAGAAAAGAAGACACACAGCCCCCCGAGGCAGATCCGTTCTCTAATGCCAGTACTTCACGTCCCGAAATGACATGTTCTGTAGTCCGAATCCGTTGCAGAGCGCCTTACCGCCCGCTGATCTCACACCTTGGATAGGTGCCAGGGCAACCGCATTTATATATCCGTAAATCATCATGTGCTGCACGTTTACCACCGTCTGGGACGTTCTCTTGCGCTGTCGTAAACAACCTCGCGCTCATAGACCCGCTCATCGTCGTATTTGCTAGGCAGGCGGTGGTGGTGGTGATGTCCGTGGCGGCGGTCCCAGTCGTCGCGCCACTCCTTTTCATACTCAATCTCACGAACACGGTGCTTGCGGAATTGGCGGATTTCATCCGAGACCTTGACCAGCTCCAAAACGTCGTCCTGTGGATGATTAGCGACAGCTACGAACTAAGTGGGAGACAAAGCTTACGTATTTCAAATATTGCATAATGTAGAAGAAATATTCAGTCTCCTCAAAGTCGTAGCCCAACTCGATGATGGCGTCTCGAATGACAAGGTCCTTGGTGATCTCGGTCCACATCTCATTACGCTTCTTGGGAGGCGCACGACGCTCCTTGGTCTTCTCGATGTCAATCTCAGTCTCGCGGTCGTAAACCTGGACACTGAGACGATCACGAGAGTCTCTGGGCGAGGGCAAGGCGGGGGCCGGAGCCGGGACGGGAGTAGGGGCACCATCGCGTTCAGGAACGAACTTGGCCCGCCTCACTCCGTTGTAGCGCTGCCAGGTCACCTCGGCAGAGCCGCCACCGACGCCGTCCATCTGCACGCGCTCTGTTCCGGGAGGCACGTCCACGATGGTCCAATCCTTCGTGGCACCGCCCCAGGCCTCGCCCATCTTGCCCCGTTGGTCAATCTTGGAGGTGATGTACTCAGCCTCCTCCTCAACGGGGGTGCGGGCAGCAGCAGAATGAGCCCTACGGCGGGAGCCAAAGTACTGGCGGTCATCAATACGCAGGCGGTCGGTGCTCATGACAAGATCTCTGCTGTCCTTGAAGGCGGGTGACCGGCGCTCTCTACTGGGAGAGCGGTGACGGCTTGTTGATCGGTGAATGTCGATGTCGGTCCTGTTGCGGGAGGTCGTGATGTCGATGTCCAGCTCCCGGTCTTCGGTCCGGGTCATAGGTCGAGGTGCGGGGCGGGGAGGAGGGGGAGGGCTAGGGACCCGAGTGACACCTGGCCCAAGTTAGATATTTGATTCATATCAATTCTTGTGAATGTTGCCTGGTGCTTACCATGGTCAATATCGCGGTAGTGAGTAATGACTTCTCTCTCAATCGTCGGTCCACGAATGACCTGAGGAGGGGCAGGTGCAGGTGGAGGCGAGGGCGAAGGAGACGGGATCCGCTCTCTTTCCTTTTCCACGATGCGCACACCAACACGGCTGCGTTCTCTGGCCGGAGGTGGAGGAGATGGCGAGCGTTGTCGCTCAACGTAACGAGCGCGGATCAGCTCGGGAGGAGGGCCGCGAGAAGGGCTGCGAACCTCCCGTTCACGCTCAGAGATGCGGACTCTTGACCGCTCAAGCTCTTGGTCGTGGTGGTGATGGTGCGGGGGAGACGAGCTGCGAGCCCTACGAATGACACGCTCGCGGTAAACAGGGCTCGGACTGCGCTGGCGAGGCCTCGAGAGCTCTCTCGACTCAACCTCGCGGCGGCTCAAAACCATGGCACCAGCCTCGGGAGCGCGCTCTTCACGCAAGAAGCGGAGGCGGTCGCCCTCGCGCTCACGAGGCCTGTCGCGGACTTCGACGTCATTGAATGCAACTCGGCTCGAGGAATCCCTCTCGCGACGGGGCTCGTAAAAACGGTCTTCGAACTCGTTGGACCGGTAAGCCATTTTTGCAGAAAGAAAAACGATAAGCGTTTATCGTTTCGGGAAGCTGCAGCAAAGGCGTTTGTGGTTGTTTGTTGGGGGGGTTTGTCTGAACAGGTGGGATGAATGGCGGGGTAGTAAGCCGTTTGGCGGTCGTGTAGCGCAGAGGGTAGCGTGAGGGTCGGCAACACTAAGGTGACCAGACACGGGTATCTTGCGCAACAGATGAAGTGGCCCGGGAAATGGGTTAGAAAAGAGCCAGACTTCCCTCGCGGCGCAGAGGAGTGAGCGGCAAGACGGAAGTGTAGGGAGGATGGGACTTTAATCAGAGGGCCGAGCTAGAGCTTAGCCGGCTGAGAGTGAGAAGAGGGGGTGAAGAGAAGAAGAGTGAGTGAGAGGAAGAGGGAAGAGAAGAGTCAGAGTGGGAGCAACGTCGTCATACCACAGCAGCAGAAGCTGGGTATGTATGTAAGTGCGTATGTAGGTAGGTGGTATGTAATAAAGGCAACCGACAGGTGATATAGACCGGCAGGAGAAGCAGGCTGCGTGTGCCGTCCGTTCGTGGGGGACTTGGGACTTGGGCTGGAGGGGAGGATGGGTGGATGGTGGATGATGGAGGGGGCCGTGGATGTGGATGTGGACGTGAACCAGGGCTGGGACTGGGACCAGGACTGTGAGGGACGGACTGGCGGGAGGGAGTGAGTGAGTGAGGGAGTGGTGTTGAGTGGTGGTGAGGTGGGCGGGAACAGGAAGAAGAGGGCAGTGATGGAAATGGGAGGGGCTGGCCGGGTTTGCGCGATGCGGCGGCCTGGCTTGCGGGCTTGTTAGGTTGCTGGATGCTGGCTCGTAGGTTCTGTCCACTTCTTCCAACTGTGGGCGTGCGCCGCGCGGTGAACCGCTGTCCGCTGTCACTGAGCAGGGGTGTTCCCGACGTTTTGTCTATGTTGCTGCGGGTAGCGGGACGGTAGGGATGTCGTCGCAAAGCCGATCGAGGGTGTGGTGTTGAGGCCCCGGATTTTGGGCAGCGTTGTGCTCTTTGGATGAGTGAGTGCCGAGGAGCGACGAGGCGTGATGGACTCTCGAGTGATTCAACAGATTCTACCTTACGGATAGGTCTGCGTTTGTTTGGGTTTGGGTTCGTTGGACGGGAAGGAAGCCCTACGGGCGGATCTGCTGCACAGAAGGCTGCCTGCCCAGTCAGATGAAGCAAGAACGAGGACAGGCGGACGGCAGAAGGCTCCAGCAATCTGGAACTAGGAGTCAATGATGCAGGCTGTGGCGGGTTGGGCCAAACAAAAGCAACGAAGTTTAAGCAAGGTTG